CCCAGGCTGCCAGCCGTGGGAAGAGGGTCCTGCTGTGGGCGCTCGGCCTTATATCCTCTGTGGGGAGAGCACAGCAGGTCGGGGCCAGTGTTGGGCAGCCCTCACTGCGCCATCACGTCAACAGCATGTGCCACGCACATGCCTGCCCCCCGTCCCCGCTGCCTCCCTTCCCCATTGCCCCCTTGTCCCCACTGCCCCACACAGCCAGGGTCCCCCCATTCCATCCCATGAGGGGTCACCCAGCACAGTCACACCCAGACACACTGCACGGTCAGTGCTGAGGGACGGGGCAACGACACTCCAGACTTACCGCAGTGCCGACAAAATCTGAGGAAATAGAAAAGAAAATGTCAGGCAGGGCAGGGGCCCGGCAGCCCACCCCCACCCTGCCCGGCCTGACGCACTTTGCAGGTGATAGTTAAGCCCACGGGACCCTTGCCCAGCCACAGGCTGCTGGAGAGGCAGAGTCCCCCGGGCTTTTCCCACCTGGGATCCCTCCCACGGCCACAGCACGGGGCCCTGGGACACCCGCTGGCGTGGTACTCACCTTTGCTCTCTGTCTTGAGCTCCTCGTGCAGCAGGTCATTTTGCCGGTTGCCGAGGACGAAGGCCAGGAAGGAAAGGATGAGGGCGTTGAGGATGCCGATGATGGCCAGGATGTAAGCCCAGCGCACAGAGCAGTCGCCCAGGGAGTACTTCCCTGTCTTCTCCCCGCACATGTCCCGTATGGTCTCTGCATCCCAGCCGTCGGGAAAGATCATGCAGCCCAGCACCAGGCAGAGCGCTGCGGGGGGGAGAGGAGGGAGAAGCGTCAGAGGGGATTCAAGAGTGGCGGTGCTGCGTGCTGAGCCCCCCCGGTCAGTGCATGAGTGCAGCCGGTGTCTACCTTGGCTCTACGACAGCCAGGCAGCACAGCAGGTGACAGCCTCAGGGGACTGCGTTTGCAAGTGGCTGCCCCAAACCTGGCCCATGCATTAATGGGGAACATCAGGGGCTTCGCTTCTTTGAGCATCAGCCACAGCATCAGTGGTTTCCCACGGGCTTTCCTCATCACCGCAGGCTCCCTGTGCGTGGGCAGGAGCTACCGGCACGCTGTAGGCAGGGATGCTGCCTGCCAAGAGGGTCGTCATCCCCAGGAGCATCCCCATCCCACCCCCTCGCAGCCATGCAGACACCGGCCCCAGCAGGCTCGCTTGCTCAGCCTGCCTCCATCCCGCACACTCCATGCCGAGCAGGGAGACATCAGGGAGCACCAGGATGAACGGGAAGGGAAATGCCGAGACAAAGCCTGTGACTGCCAAGGTAAGGAGGAAGCGCTTTTTCTAACTACAGCCAGTACAAAAGCTCCTCACCCTATAGCAGCTGAGAAGGCTAAAAATATTAATGTTGTAGAGAAGCTGGGGAGTGCTGTGAGTATTTTTGTCCTGGGTTAGCAAAGAACTGAGAGGCTTATGCCCACATGAGTGACAAAGTGCCTCCCTGTCCCTTACTGCTGGAGGGACAACAAACACCCTGCCAGGCATGAGTGCTGCGGTGGTGGTCTCGGGGTGCTGAGGTGCGCTTTTAACTGCTCTCAATAGGAAAGGGAAGTCCCAGGAGGCTGGTGCAGGCCATCATACCGGCACTTGGCACAGCCTCTGCATCCTGATGAGCTGCGCCGACTGCTCTCCCTGGGAAAGGGCAGGGACGCCAAGGCGAGTCGCCCTCGGCAGCACGCACACCAGCACGTCGTACCACCTGCTGCTGTTGCTGCCTGGTCTCTGCCTCCTCCATCCACGTTACACATTTGCTGGGTAAAAGCATCTTTGCCGACAGAGGCGAGCTCTGCGAGCTGATTTATGACCACACACAGCCCGGCACCGCATGGCTGCAAAGAGCGGTGCATGCATGAGCTGCCGGCAAGCTGGCATCTCCAGCACATCAGCACGGCTGTGTCTGGGGGAACTCCCTGTCCACAGGGACCAGAACAACCCAAAACCATCCCTTCCGGAAGGAATCCTAGAATCAACACTGATGCTGTGTACTGCACAGCAAATGGTGAGCTTGGCCTGCCTGTTACTCCGGGCACCTTCGAGCTAGATACCATTTAATTCAGCCAAGTGTCTGAATTAAAGGTGAGGAGGAACAGCAGACCTATGCCGGGGACTCTCCCTGGGAAAGCAGAGATGCCGAGAGGATTTTAGGAGCCCGCTCAGTTCCCAGTGCAGTGCAGCTGTGAGAAAAGCTAAGGCGCTCTGTGGCCATCCCCAGCGAGGGGGTGGTTTTGCCCCTGCAGCACTGGTCAGGCTGACACGACCCAGCCTGGAAACGGGCATGGCGGTAACGGCTCTGCCGAAATCGGTGAGGAGGAGGAAAGAGGGCGGTGAGGCCGGAGGAAAGCACGGGGAGCGGCAAGGCGAGCGCCCCAGCTGCCCCGGTGGGCAGCAGCCCTCAGCAACAGCCCCTCTCAGCCCAAAAGAGAACAGGACTGCAGAAGGCAAATTTAAGTTAAAAATAATAATAATAATAACCAGGTGCCAATTCTACCTCCACCAGGAGGCTTGGGTGGGCTCCTGGCTTTTCTGCACGGCCCTTGGTAAGTCCTTTGCAGGAGCAGAAGAGCAGCCCCTGGGTCTGTCCCTGGGCTCTGCAAGAATCAGCATTTCCTCTGCATTTCAGGCATTTATCTGGGCTCCGCGTCGATCCGGCTGCCCGGGTAAAACACGAGACCGCCAAGAGCTCACCGCTCTGCAAACACCACAGCTGCATGGGTGAGGGTCCCCCAGAACATCAGCAGGTCCCAAACATGGCAGGACGGGGCAATGACGCAGGAGGCAGTGGATTAACGTGGAGGACGCAAGAGACAGAGTTTAAGGTGAAAGCAGAGAGCGGCTCAAAGAGGTACGTGAAAAACACACAGCATGTGAGCCACCAGTGTGGCAGGTTGTCACAACACAGCCACGGGGGACAGGCAGCGATGACCAGTGTCAGGACCACTGGGGCTGGCTCTAACCTGCATCTGCTTGCCCTGGTCCCTCCTGTCCCTGTGTGCCTGCTCTGCACTGGCACTGGGGACAGGGCAGCCTGTGCCCCGGCCCATGGAGCAGCTCAAGGAGCTCTGCCCGAGATCTCACACTCCCTGTTTGCCAGAGAGAATTACACTACAAATTTACTACCAGGGCAAAGGAGCACTCCCGTGTCACTGCATGTACCCAAACGTCTCTGCCCGAGGGCTCTTCCCATGAGCCCCTCACTGCTGCGCAGCCCCCCCGGGAAGTGGCCGTGGTGGGACCACCGAAGGCAGGTCCTCCCCCAGCGAAGAGCAGCGCAGCGTTCTCCTCTTCCCATCTGTCCTACGTGTTCCCAGCAGCAAGCCGAGTCCTCTGCTCTGTCACAAGCAATTCCCTTTTCTGCGTGTCCCCAGGCCGCCCGATGTCCTGGAAACACCTTCCCGTGCCTGCAGCAAGGAGCGACACCGAAGTGCAGAGCAAGAACAAGGAGGGGATCCCCGCACGGCCACCAGGCCCTGGCGCTGCCCTTTTCACCCAGCCCCTCGCTGCAGGTCTGAGCCGTGCGAGGACAGGGCTCTGCCTGCCCGTCCTCTGCCCGCAGCACCGTTCTGCCAGCACCTGCCTCCAAACACCCCAAGGTCCCCTGCAGCCCTGCAGGAAAACATTGGTTTTTGTTTAAAACAGCCTATTTCTACGCTTTGCAACTGCATGAAAAACACTAAGTGATGACTCCTACAAGAGACGCTATTAAAAAGGAAAAAAAAATCACCCAACTCCCATCCATTTTGGTTTTAATTCCCGTTCTTCTGAGGGTGTGGTGCTAGTCCCCGGTGGCACTGAGGACAGCCGGCCGCTTCATCACACCCCACAGCTGCCATCCCTCCCCCAGGCCCTGGGCTCCAACTCCCTCTACCAGAGTTTTCCCAGTTGGACTGACGGATCTGAGACCGGGCATTTCGGTGACCACCGGGGCAGGGTGTACGCGGAGGGAGGAGGATGACCTGGCTGCGGTTTGCAGTGCTGCCCACGGGATCCTGCTGGGGCTCGGGCCCCAGGGGAACCAGCATTTCTCCGCTTGGTTTCACGGCGGGTTCATGGCTTCCCAGCTCCTCGGAGTCCCCTAGAAATGCAATGGGCATCTCAAGGGCTTTTGATATCCCGACAAAAGAAATTAATTGAAGGGAATTCAATGTTATGGCTCAGGCTGCAACACTGGAATGAGATTTTAGCAGAGAGAGATGAGGAGGCTCTTCCTGGCAGGATAACATCCCCCGGTAGAAGGTGCATTTAGCTAATTTGGACTTTCTGAGTAACCTGCGTGTTCGCTGAGTACCACAGTTATCCCGGTGCCACCCTAGTCCTGTGCAGTTGTGCCTGCAGGATTCAAATCTGATTTTTTAACCACATTTGCTGACTAGTTTAGTCTGCAGGTTTGGGTGAAGACTGACTTTCACTGCTCTTGCCTGCCATGGGTGGGAGGTGCTAAGGACAAGCCCTACAGCTGAGAGACACGGCCTCCCCCCAGCCAGGGGCACGCAGAGCATCGCACTGCCGCAGGACACACAAGGGACTGAAAACTGGAAAATGTGGGGGTAACTGGGGGGAAAACCAGTAACTGCTGGGTCCAAAAGGGGCTTGGGGACAGTGAGGTGTTTGGCCCCGTGGGCAGCAGCTCACCCTCCCTCGGGTTGAGCAAGCTGGCTGTCCCCTCCCCTTCTCCACATCTCTCCCACCTTCACCGCAGCCATGCCTCGCTGCCGAGGGTATTTTGGTGATCCCCCCCTCCAGCCTTCATATCTACCTTGTGCCAAAGGGGAGGAAGCTCTCAGTGCTGTATCCTCCACTGTGCCCACGGCCACTTGCTGCAATGCGCAGCGGGGGGTACCCGCTGGAGATCCCCAACACGGTGGCCCTGGGCACTGCACACCAGCCCCGAACCTCCAGGGGAACAGGGACAGTGCTGGGACTTTAGGGTCTGGAGTGGCTACTTCTCACCAGGAAACCTCCTGAGAGCTGAGCGCCAAAAGGAAAGGGAACAAACACAGCCCCCCCCCTCCAAAAAAATAGAAATCCTTCAAAAATAAATGAAAATTAAAGGCAGCGTGCTCAGGACGGCTAGCACCGGCCATTTACACAGACAGGAGCTCCCTTACGGCATTTTGCTCCACAGGCTGCTTCCGAGCCAAAAAATCAGCAGGATTCAGAATAGAGTTACGAGTTTGTATGAATCAGAACTGACAGTTACTTTATCTGGAACAACAGTTAAGGGATGTAAGCTCCAGGACGTGAGCGGCTCCGAAATGCCCGGCTCAGCCCCTCCCTGCGTGTCGGCAGGCACATTAACAGCTATGGCCGGAGGGTTACGCTGCCTTCCGAAGCTCGGGGCTGGCTGCCGTGGAGCACAAGGTGCGGGACAGACTCGAGGTCTGCGCTGCATCGCTGCTCCTGTCCCGGCTGCACGACAGGAGGGGCAGGGGAAGGAGAGGGCAAATCTTCAGGAAAGCTTTTTTGGAGCCAGAAGCTGGTAATTCAGCAAATGCAAAGTTTTTTTGCAGCGATGTCTTCTTTTTGCTGCAAGGTTGGCAGGTGGAAGATTATATCACCTGGAAGAATATTGACACTATCTCTCCCTTGGGCAGAGAAAGTAGCTGGCCCAGTTACGCTGCCTAGCTAGTTTGGAGCAGTGCTACCTGTCTCCCAGTTTTTTCATTAAGAATTTCAATGAATGACTTTTATATCCATGAAAACAATTTTTTTTGAAACCTCAAACTCTCTCCGAGAGGAGCTGGCTCTCCAGCAAGTCCCAGTCAGGAAGACGAGCCCATCCTGATGTGGCTCAGCAGAGCCACCGCATCACCACTGGCACCAGGGAGAGTTTCAGGGCTATGGTGTTTGCTCAGGCCAGACCCTGCTCTCTTTTGTGGCCGCAGCCACACCGCCACACCGCCACACCACACAGCTCAGCCGCGCTCAGCCCAGCGGTTGTCAACAGCCTTCCTAACTGCTGCTCTCCTAGGACATGCCAAAATGATGCTGTGCAGCTGGGCCACGTGAGGGGTCTCCACTCAGATGGTGGCAAACGCAGCTCAGGTGTAGAAGATGAAGCAGCTGACCGAGGCTCAGCCTCTGCTCCCAGTTCATGCGCTGGTGGGTGGGAAGAGCCCATCTCAGAGACGAGCGTACCTCCGAAGGGGGTGTCCCAAAGGAGAAAAGGGCTGAGATGGGTATGTATTATCACATTCCCGATCAAGCAAGCTGCCTGGACACGGCATAATTAACTCCAAAGTGCCACTGATGAAGTCAGATCCCAACCCTGTGGCCAATGACACGGCCTCGGGTGGAAAGCCACCCCATGTTGTGTGCTCATGCCTGGCCTAGGAGAGCTGGAAGGTCTCACACCACCGACGGCTGGACTTGAACTGCAAGGAGTGGGACTAGTGGGGAAACACCTTCAAACGTTATCAGCCTATTTCTCTGTGCAAGAGGGACTGTGTGCTCAGCTGGCTGCCTCTTTTGACCCTCAGTAGACTGTAAGTACAAAACCAAGGGTCTGCCTGAAGCCTCCCTAAAAACAGAGCCCCGGACCCGCTCGGAGCGACTGTCCTCGCAGGAGGCACGTGGGTGCGGTGCCACGTAGAAGCAGCCGAGGTCTCTTGCTCCAGTATTAATGCCTGACATCAGGACAACTTTGTTCAAAGCTTGGAGTTAACTCACAGGTTGACCACATCTTACGTTACAGCAGAGAATTAGGGAATCAGAGCTCCTGGGCAGCCTCCTCAGTGCGTGGTGGTGGTGGTGTATTCCTGTGCTCTGGTCTCCAGCAGATGATGGCTACACGGTCGCTGGAACAGATGCATCCCAGCCCAGCTGCTTTCATCTCACTCCTGTACTTGCTCTCCATGCAGGGTGGATGAGAGGGATCACCCACACAGCCCATGTCTCTTCAAGTAAGCATCATCCCATGGGACTTTCTGAAGGAGCTTCTCTGCTAATTTTGAGGACTGGGGTGGCATCAGGGTGCTGTCAGTTATACAGTTGTTGACGTGCTCATGTTAAAGGCCCGTTTCTGGTTTTATAACAGAAGGATTTAGCAAAATCTCCAGTTTTGCATTACTGGGATTTTGAACAGGGCAGATGGCTACGTTTCTATTTGTGATAAAGCAGAGTCTCTCCTCTTAATTAGATCTAGTTTCCTCCTAGGGGGGCAGTGGCTTTTGAGCTGGGGCTTTCTGTGAAGCTCTAATTAAACCCCTCCTTGATTGTCGTCCACTAATTAGACATTGATGATTGAGACTTTTTTTTTTTTTCTGAAAGAGATACTGAATTCCTGATACTCCACCTCTCTTCCTCCCCCACCTTCCTGTTCTTGACT